CCCCATTTAAATATTTTAAAACGCCTCCACCTCATGTATAAAGTGTAACGTAAATGTCCGCCTTTAACCTATGAAAACCACGTCCACTAAAGGACGTGGCAATGCAACAAAGCTTAAACCAAATGAAGGTAAAATCTTTTGAAAGTAGTGATAGTCCCTAAGGACCATCATGCTCATATGGACCATCACTTATTATTATTATTATTATTATTATTATTTTTTTTGAAATTTTAGGATTATTACATCACCTCTCTTAATAGGTGATGTACTTGGCCGGCGTCATACATGGCCCACCCACCTTAGTCTACTCACTCTCATTTTATTGCCTATTGGTGCAATACCTAAATTATCTCGAATAAGATTCATTTCAAATTTTATTCGTTCTTGTCTTCCCATTCATCCATTTCAACATCCTCACCTCTGCTACACTCATTATGTGGATATATTGGTTTTTGTCCTTCAACATTCCGCTCTATATAGTAAAGCTAGTATCACCGATGTCCTATAGAACTTGCCCTTCAGCCTCATTGGCATGCGGCGATCACATAAAATTCCAGTCGCACATCTCCAATTCGCCCATCCAGCTTTAATTCTGTGTGCGACATCTTCCTCGAGCTAATCCATTTTCCTGGATTATTGGCCCAAATTATCGAAAGTGTGGTATTTTTTGTATTTCCTGGCCGTCAATCTTAACTACTTCATTGTCTCTACTCGTATTATTACTAAACTTGCGCTCCATATACTCTATCTTAGTCCGACTAATTTTAAAACATTTGAATTCTAGAGCATCCCTCCAAAGTTCAAACTTTGTATTGATATTTTTTCGGGTCTTATCAATCAAAACTATGTTATCTGCAAACAACTTGCACCATGGTACCTCATCCTGTAGGTGCTTAGTTAAGTCGTCCATAACTAAGACAAAGAGGTACGGGCTCAATATTGACCCTTGATGTAGACCTATTGTCTCTGGAAACTTACTCGTCTCTTCACTAGTTGTTAGAATTGACTTGTTTTCAGTAAATTTAAATTTCAAATAATTTGAAATTAGAAAGCTCTTATTATCAGACTCCTCTGTAATATATTTTGTATCATGAAGTTTCCAAAGTTCTCTTGCTATTGCCTTTGATGCATACTTAGGATTAGTCAATGCATTGAGAATGCGACCCTTGCATAAGTAGTCGTCTTACATACATTTTTTGTATAACCGGGCTTGCTCCTTTGTATCATTTCCAATTGGTGGTGGTGGTTCCGACATAGATTCAATAACTATATAAGCTACTTTGAATGCAATCAACAAAAAGATTACCTTTTATTGCCACATCTTTAAAATTCATACAATTAAATCACTCGTTTTGTGAAATCATGATTCATGATTTTTAAGGAGGTCATATTAGTTTCCTTGATTTTACTCATAATATTGGGTTGACTGTTGGATATGGTATAGATGAAATAGTGGCATGAAAATACACAAAATCCTTCTTCGTTTTTAAGCATGCGATAGCGCTTCCTCAAGACATAAGAGAAAATGACTTCTATTTACTATCTCTATTGATTGAACATAGGAAAGTTTCATTTGAGAATATATATATATATATATATATATATATATATATATATATTTATTGGTAATTTAATAGGAAAGAGTCCTCTACTTGTGGTGGGAGTAGAACTCAATATGTCATGTTGTAGTACCTACCACTCTACCCACGTATGCCTTGAGCCCATTCTTTTTTCTTTTAATGACTTTACTTCAAATCATTAATAAAAAAGGTAATTCCAAAATGATTAAGTTAGAAAACTATCTAATACACAAACTTTGCAATGAAACTCCTCATTTAGCTAGCCCATCGGTAACATCGGTCCCCTCTCTGTATACATGTCTAAAAGAAAAACTCCACCCGATCACAACACTCCATTACCTACATTCAAATGGATATCGGTCTCCAAGGCGGTCTAGGCTCCTTATTGCACTAGATAATTATATACAAAGAGTTCCCTTCTACAATGCATGAATCACTAATCCATCAATCCATTAGTATCTACAATCCTTGAAGAAGTGGAAGTAATTCGGTTTGGTTTACCCAAAATGCAACCCCAAAGACCAGCAAAAGACAAGGTAATACCACCATAATTGTTGCAAAAAATTATTCTGTTGTTTTTGGTTTTGGATTGTCCAAAAAACTACCATCAAATTTCAACTCAACACATTATAAAATTGGAGGTTCCCATCTTCCCCATCTAACTTTAACTACTTTTTGATTAATCAAATTAAGCATGTTGAGAGCCAGAACAATTTTAGATACCCCTTATCCTTCCTTCATAGATGAAAACCGACTTCACATGGTATGTAATATTCAATTTTTCACTTTGAAACCATCCTTTTGAAACAAATTGTTTTGAAATTTCATTTATTAATTTTCAAAACCCAAATACTAAAAATAAATCCTGTACATATTTGGCGAGCTAAATACTCTTGGGTCCTCTACGTATTTGGGAAGCTAAATACTCTTATCATGGGGATATCATGCATGTGTATTTTCAAACCACTGAGGAAACATTGCAGTTCCGCGACCTCTAAAAATTAGCCCAATGTATTGTTGACTCCACTTTTATCTCAAAATTTCCGGTGACAATTCAGTTTTGGCAATCATGTACATCTACATTACGACCTACTTTTAGTATGTTCACACATATTTTGGGTGGCAAAAATAAAAAATAGCGCCTGGAAGAGAGAAGAGACTAAAAAGGGGTTTTCAGACCACGGACAGTCGCAACCGAATTCCTGGCGCCGGCGACGAAACCAGGAAGAAAGAAAATGAAAGAGGAGGAATTGCCATTTTAGAGAGAGAAAGAGAGAGAGTTTTGTTGCAGTGCTCTTTCTCTCTCTAGGTGTTTTCCAACTTGAGCAAGAGGCATGTCTTCGATTGCAGAGAGGAAGGCGTTAGCTAACGCCTGCAAATCAGAAGAATGGTCGAAGGCGATTCGCATCCTTGACTCTATAATCTCCAAGTCCTTCTCTGCTCAGGACCTTTGGTATATCCTCTTCTCCTCTTATTTCCTACTTTCTCTGTCTACCATGTATCTTATGGTTTTTGCCCTAGAGTCAGCTGTTCTTGCTCTTTGGGAGTTGAGTTTATGTGGCTTCTTACCTTTCTTTGGTGTTTCCAGCAATAGGGCCTTCTGCTACAGACAATTGGAGCTTCATAAGCATACGATCAAGGACTGCGATAAGGCAATTGAGCTTAATCCTACACTGCTCCAGGCCTTCATTCTCAAAGGTATCTGCAATTTTCAATTTAGATTCTCGGGATAGATGTCCTTGAGCTTCTGTCCATTTAGACATTGATGCTCTCTCTGTCTGATGTTATGTTCTTCTCCAATGTTTTTATTATTTTATTCGCAAACTAAGTAGAATTCTTTGGTTCTTGGGTTTGCATTTCTTTCTTTCATCATTAACTATGTTTGGTTCGTTTTTGAATATCAGCTGTATTTCATTTCTTTCTGTAATAGTATACGAGTGTGGTGCATGTGCTGCTACACAAGTATTTAGGATATACAATGTTTTCACAAAGTGTGAATATGGGGCTCTATGATAGCGATAAACTCTGGTTAGTGTATTGCACATCCTTGAGCTTCTGTCTGTATAGACATTGATTCTCTCACACTCTCTCTATCTATCTCTCTGATATTATTTACTATGTTCTTCAATTATTATTTGATATTTTAGTCTCAAACTACATCGAGTTTTATGGTTCTTGGATTGCATTTCTTTCGTTCTTAATTTTTTATTGGTAACTGCATTTTATTTATTTTTTATTGTTAACTTTATATCATTTCCGTCTGTGAAGCATAAATTCGTGGTGAATGTCATATATGAGTCCTTAGAATGTACAAATTTTGTACAATTGTGAATATGGGATAAAAGCCATAAACTGTGTTTCTGGGGTTCTTGTGTTGCATGTCCTGACACTTTAATGTATATATGGCTATTGTGTGTCTGCATGCGTGTGTTTTTTTGGGTGGTGGAGGGTGGCGATATTATGTTCTGCTCATAACACTTAAAACGGAGGTTCACATACTTGGCCTCGGGCCCCTGCCGAGCCTAGTAACTTGGGTGATTGGAGTGGACTCGCATGAATAGTGTACGGGGCCAAAGAAGTCCTAAACATCAAAAAATAAATTCAACAAATTTGTTTAAAATAAAATACAAATAGCAAAAATAAAACTAAACTAGAAACAACATAACACGTCCAACTAAGTCTTGGAAAAAAAAAGAAAGATGAAACATGGTTTTGAGAAAAAGTTGATTATAGCTGTAGATATTTCAAAACAATCCAGAATAAGAGAAAAATATATACATCGGGCATATGATAAGAAAAACTTAGAAATCAAAGCCGAAAGAATCCAAAATATATATAAAACATTTATACATTGATTTCACAGTTTAATATAATGTTTGTTTATTTTTAGTTTTTAGTTACCCTTAGTTTACTTTAATACTTGGCTTGGAAGTGGCTGAGTCCGAGTAACTCGGCGGAGTCCGAGTGGACTTGGCTGAGTCTGCCAAGTTATTCATCAAAAGCACTAAAAAAGTTAACAACTATAAGATTCAATCAGGTCTCATGGTATTACCATGGCTCGTTAAGATCACGAGGCGAGTCGACATGGGCTAGCCTTGAGTTAACTTCTCGAGTTTTAAAGCATCGAAAAGGAAATTGCGAGTTTCAAATTACGCATCTCTTGAGGTATTTGATACTTCCAAAAAAGAGTCATTGTGAAAGGCAATTAACAATTTCAAAAAAAAAGAAAAAGAAACAAAAGAGTCATTGTGGAAGTTGAGACGTTATGTAGGGTCTGATACTTTATGAGAATTGCTCCATTTGTTTTGCTTTTTCTTTTTCATTAGTTACTTTTTGAGAATTGTTGGAAAGGATTTGTATTTGGTTTGAGAGAAAAGTTATTTTGATAGGAGGTGCTTTGAGAGGTTTCACTGTATGTGTGTCAACATTTGTTTGTGATCTAGTGGTCCTAGATTTACATCAGGGGTTAGCGTTGAGCCCATACCTTTTTGTCCTAGTTATGAATGATTTAACTAGGCACCTACAAGATGAGGTGTCGTGGTGTATGTTGTTCCCGGATGATATAATTTTGATTGATGAGACCAGAAGCGGCGTCAACACAAAGTTAGAAACTTTGGACTGATGCTCTAAAATTTAAAGGTTTTAAAATTAGCTGGACTAAGACATAGTATATGGAATGTAAGTTTCGAAATAATAGGAGTAGAAACTAGGAAGGAGTTAAGATTGACGATGACGAAATACCAAAAAGAGCACATTTTCGATATCTTGGGTCGATTAATCCAGAAAAATGGAGAGATTGATGAAGATGTCACACATAGAATTAGAGCTGGGTGTGCAAAGTAGAGATGTGCAATCAGAATTTAATGTGATCGCTGCATATCAATAAGTTGAAGGGCAAGTTCTATAGAACAGTTGTGAGACTAACTTTGCTTTATGGGGCAGAATTTTGGGCGTTCAAGAAATAATATACCT